GTATTATTGCTTTTTTGATTTGGAAGAAGTCTACACGGTCCACAATACCTAATCTGACCTTCATACTACTTGTGGTGGTGCCACTTGCTCTGCTCTCATTGTTTTCTAATGTTGGCTTGCACTATAAGAGCTGGGATCATTTCTGCTGGTGGTGATACTGATTTTTGATGTTTGCACTTCAAATTCATGCTGGTTTTGTAGTGCTGCCATTCCACCAAACAAAACACTCCTCCAATCGCATACAAAATTTGAGATCCCYAATTATTTTAATGGAAAAAAGATTGGCTATTTTCCAAACTTTTCAACACTTCTATTGATACTAGTAGTGTTAGTACTGCTTAAAGCACCTAGCAAATAAATCTACCTACAGAATAAAATCTGAAAACAGGTTGGCTCAGTAATGGAGGATAATAAGTGTCTTTTCCAATGGTGTGACAACTTGGCCTGTTAATAATGAAAACATTCAATTTTTAAGATTCTGTGTATGTGTGCTATAGCAGTAATTGTTGTCTGGGAAAAGGTTCTCTACAAGAAACACCAAGTAATGTGCACATCTATATGAAGAGGAGAGAAAACCCCTTTKGACAACTCCGTCCTTTGTTGGCAAAACAAAGCTGGCRAGAAAGCTGGCAAATCTTCAAAGTCTGAGRCATAACCTATTAYGRAATCAAATACATAACACCACAACCTTGTGCAAATTTTATTACAATTTCTTGACAATGGGCGGTCAATAAGTGTAAATATATTTCTATTCTCCTACTAGTAGTAGAGCTTCAAAAAGTGGTGAAGCTCTACTTACTGTTACTATTGATACTAGCAGTAGTACTATGGGTGTTGGCACTTCTACCAAGGCTTGTTCCAAGGATAAGAATATTATTTTTTTTAAAATAAAAAATTGTAGTAGGTGTCTCACYGAAAAACAGTATGCAATCTGGAGGTAAAAAATTGCTTCTTCGTGGCGGCCAGCTGGGTACATCATGTTACCTAGTAACTTCATAGAAGTACAACTTCATTAGTACTGTGTGTAAAATATCAATTGAACTTTCTTTAAAGAAGGGGTTCAGAACTTTAAATTAATGTTCTGAATGTTAGTGTTAATGTTCCAGATGTTGAATTTATAGTGTAGGCCTACGTACATCCCAGTATCATTTGGCAGCAAAACAGTCTTGCACATGCCTAAAAAGGAAGAAGGGATCTAAAAAAAAGGAAGAAGAGGATGCCTCCCCTGCTAACTTTCAGACTATTGAGTAGAGCATTCAGGAAGTTAARTTGAAGCAAAAACTGAAGTACTTATTTCTACACAGCTCATGTTGCTAACATTCTGAATGTTAAATTAACATTCTGAACCCCCTAATTAACGAAAGTTCAATTGTTATTTTACGCGTAGTAACCGAATAAARYACAAAACGTGAAATGTACGTGTGCGCTTCAGTGTCATAATCAGTATTTGCCATAAAGTGTAAATTGTTTAGCTTGTTGCTCACTAGCTGTGTWCTCGTGATTTACATGCTTAAACCCCACAGGTTCTCGTTATTGTAAATCGCATAGGGACAGCATCATTGCATGGGATGCGTACAATAATAAACCATAGTATTAGTTATCAAGATAAATGTCACCTCTATTTGGTATCTTCTTGAGCTTCGCTCTCTGCTTTGGCTCTCCTTTCAGCTCGTCTAGCAAGTTTTCTAGCCCTCTTGAGCTCAGCAGGCGTCATTTTCGATAAATCGGTGTTTCTCTTCGGAGGCGCACCAGGAGCCTTGTTGTAAATAGATTCCTTCCGCTTTGAAGCGAGGGTTGTTTCGTCATGAAAATTACCTTGGCTTCTCGACGGATTCTGACCGAAAGAGTTGATCTTAGATGAAAGTTGAGGCTGTCTGGCCGCTGCTACTACTTTTTTCTTCGCTTTTTCTTTCATCTTTTCCCGCCTTAATTGCCTATCTTCGATCGATTTACGTTCATCTTTCATTCTGATTTCGGATTGTAGACTTACAGTTATTCGCTTCTGCTTTCGATCGATTTCAACAATTCGTACACTTGGAATTTCATCACCTTCTTTGAACTTTGACTCGGGCTTCTCAATGTAATCATCAGAAAGGCGCGATACATGGCAAAATGCATCCGAATGGCAACCAATGTCGAAAAAGACTCCGAATGGTTTTACATAAACCACTTTTCCAGAATAGCTCTGCCCAATCACGAAGTCTGTAACAGGTTTCCTACCAATGCAATATCTTTTCTTTTCCTTGTCRAAAMTCTTTCCTTCTTTCGAATCTTCGAGTTTGCTATCAGCGGAAACAGCAGCTCTGCTCTTTTCCAAGGCTTCCATTTCTTCAATTTTTTTRGCCGTATCTTGACGGCCACGCCTTCGACGGCCACGTTGGCGGTGTTGTATGGGTTCGTCATTATCAGAATCATCGGAGCTGTCGCTAGMATCTTCAACATAATTTCCAGTATCATCGTTCTCCTCCTCCTCTACCGACGAATCCTGATCCGACCTATCTCCGCTAGCATCACTAGTAATAGATACAGAGGAGTTTTTGATAGTAATCTCTTCTGTGCTTTCGAGATCAGATGAGTCGCCTTCATCAGAGGTGCTATCAGAATCAATTTTGTCATTCTTGTTCTCGGCCTTCGGGTCAACAGTTTCTTCAATTTCCATCCTGCTGCTACCTTCGTTCTCGATGACTGCCGGTTGTTTGATTGCCGCATCATCATTGGCAACTTCATTTGTTTGGYGATATGTCCTCTTTGYGTTTATTCTGTTTAGCCTTTCTACGGCATCTTCGTTCCCATTGTCATTTTCAGCACTCATTTTATGAGTTGTTGTTTTCTGTCGCTTGTGGCTACCATTTTTCGAGTACAGCTTCTTCTTGGATTCGAATTCCTCGATCTCTTTTTGAATCGTTTCTCTCATCTTGACATCTTGGTGTGCAGCTTGTTCCAACTTTCTTTTCAGATGTTTTGGCTTCTTGATTTTCGGTTTGTTCAATTTCTTAGCATTGTTCTTCCCGTTGCTTTTGTTCTGAAAATTCTTGTTTTTATTAAATTTCTGTTTCCCCCAACCATTGGAGTTTCTTGTCGAGTCGTTGGTTGTATGTCCGTTGCTGTGATCCTTTGAGTACTTCTTCTCGTTCTGATCAACATGTGCTGTCTTCTGAGGAGATTTAGTAGATTCAAGTTTGTTCTTTGCCTCTTGCGCTGCCAATCTTTTCAAGCGACGACGCTCTTTCGCTCCTTCTCCGCCTGCCATGATGGCGATTGGTTGCTTCTCTACACTAGTGAATTTAGATTGGCGTCTTCAGATCTTGTGTGTGCGTAGTAGGAAGAAGCTGGAGAAATAAGTTGCAATTTGCATGAAGACTATCCATTCTTTAAAGAACATTTCCTGAACCGTACCGTAGTAAACTGCGTCGCGACAACAATACCGCGGAGGTAAATGCATACACGATACAAACGGGAATAGTAGTTGAGAGAGACCGAGAGAATAATTTTGTTTGTGTGTTGTTGAGATGAATGGTTGTCGGAACGTCTTGCTCGCGCTCTAATCTCAGTACGGTACTGTACATATGAAGCATAATAACAATAATACAAAAAGTACAAAACAGTAACTTATTTTGGGTGATTCCTGTTAATCTAGATTGACCAAAGGTCTAAATTGGTTGCGGCCGCCGCCATTGTTTTTTTTTTTAAGGATGGCGGTGGCCAAAAAAACTTACAATGGTGCAAAAACTAGGTTATTGCTAGAATGACTTGTTGTCACAATAATGACTGAATGTTTAAGAAGTTAAAAATGAATAATTTATTTTGTTGGTCAAGGTACTAATTTATTTGCAAAAATTAATATACTGGGGTTTGTACAAATCCACATTGAAAAAGTTTCTTTTTGTTTCCTCGGTAAGTCCAGGGCTGTAAGAATTCTTCAAGGTTACTGGCTACTGCGCACTAAAGGTAGTGAAGTGCAGTGCACCGTAGCCAATTCACTTTTGAAGTGAATCTAGACAAGCAGAAAAGGGACATGATGTCAGCTTTATGCCAGTTTATTGGGAGTTTGGAATCTTAAATAGTAGTACCATTTAAAAAGGGAGGTGCAGGCTTGGGAACAAAAAATCATGTCCAACTCAAATTTTGATTTGTGGATTCCACCAGTCTAAATATAGTCATTTTTGAATGGGGGTCAGAGGGTCAATCAAAAATGTCTTACATCAAATCTACTAAATTGATTACTAGACATCAAAATATGCTACTTTCAACCATTAAGACAACACAACCAAATTTCCAAGGGGGCTGCAAATCGGTATTTTGAGAATTTCTTGGAATCTAAATTGAAGTTGAACAACATTAACAAGACTAAAACATTCTTATGGGCTTTAAAAATTCATACTACAGCCTTTCTGCTGAGTCTTTTGACAGACTCAAAATTTTATTTTGTGGATTCTGTTCTACTTCTAGACAGTCTTGAAAGGGGGTCTGAGGGTCTCTCAAAAATGACTAGATCTAGACAGTTTAGACCTCATTTTTTGTCTGTCTGTCTATCAAAGCCAGTCAATCTCGATTAACAGGAATCACCCATTATTACATACCATTTTCAATACTCCTCATATTTAGATACAACATAAATTTTTTATGTACATACTAGGGAACTGACATGCGTTCACCCATGTATTAGTTTACTAACTATAATTGTTCAATAAGTAGAATAACTCACTGCACCATAAACATGAACTGAAAGCTACTACAACAAGAGATGATAAGCACTCCCACATGCAAAAACACCAAGGACCACAATCAATTTATATTTCAATTTTTTTTTGGAAAGCACTAACAAACAACTAATCTCATTCTATTAAAAAAGTTTTGCAAACAACTGACCATCGTGATCCCATCTATTTAAAGCAGTTCTACCCAATCTTAGACATTGAGACCACCACCAGTCTCTCTCTCTCTCATCTCTATTGTCAATTTTAGGTACCTTTCAGCCACCCAGTGTTTGAAATGACCCAGTAGAACTCCTGTTTAGTCCAGTTTAGTGTGCCTTTCCTTTGATACAATACAACAAGCAGGAGCAACACAAGAAGCAGCAGTGCCATCAGCAATGCCAGCACCACTACCACTACCACTACCACTACCACTAACAACAACAACAACAACAACA